TCTCTTGAAGAAGACAGTATCAGCTGCTTACTTATAGATATTCATGTTGGATGATTTCCGATTACGCCTTGTACATATATCTCAACAGCTTACCTCTCCGTGGCAAAAGCCGTTTATTCAAATCTTAAACTCTGCCTGGTATGCTTAAAATTAAGTGATTCGCATTTGTTTTCTGGGATTGAAGAATCTAAATTTTAATTGTAAGCAGAAAAAAGTGGGCTTGTAAATATTTTTGGAAGAGATATTAACAATAACAATAGAATTCCATGAACTGCTTTTGAACCATCAAAAGGCTGCTCTTTGTTGTTATTTTTGAGTAGAACTGTAATGAAAACATTAAATAATAGAAATGCAGGCAGTCCGAACAAATTATTTTGTTTAGCACCATTCATTATTCTGGCCAGCTGCATAGTTCCATTAGTATAGGTACGTAGCTTATGTGTTGGATGAATGGAATGAAGTGGACATATTTATACGTATTCAAGCACTGGGGAAAAGAGCTCATTTTCGAGGTGTTTTCGAAGATGTAGCGAATATGTATAGACATTTATGGAGGCAAAGGGCCGAAGATCTCACATCGGCATTCTATCAGCACATCTCTGTCTCACTGAGTCGTTACCAACGCGAACAGTGGTATTTTTTTTTAATTTTCAACTTGTAGGTTTTAACTGGGAAATTCTGAAGTTCGGTGCTTCAAAACTAGTTTGTTACCTGACTACAACTCCATTTTGATGAATAATAACATATAAGATAAGGTGACGTGCGATAACATAAAGCTTATATGTCGTTATGTAGAGATTCTGATAGTAGAAAAACAGGTAATCCTGGTAGTAAAAGCTAAAAAAAATAATCGTACTATGCAAAGCTACAAATGAAAATGTTATTGGAAGAGCGCGCAATCAAAAAATGATCTTTGTCCATGCAAACTTGAAAAACACATGCGTATTGTAGGTATTCGTGGGATGCAAGCAAACCGTTCGATCTGACTCCTTCATTTTGTCCATTTCTGCTTGAAGTGCGTCGATTGCTAGGAAATGTTAATAACACTATATCACCTCACTCTGCTACTAAACTTTATGAAATGTTGAACGAAAAAGTAGCGGAAGTGTTGCTCCAAATGGTTACAACCGTATCACTCAAGTGAGTTTTCTGTTTATTTCTTTATTTGTCTTTTAGGCGTTTGAAATCAAACAATATACAGATATCTATATGGTGGGAATGTCTAAGTAACATATTTCTTCAAACCTTAAAATACATATTTCAGTGGGTACGGAGCTGCTCAAATACTTTACGATATAATGAACAGCCTTATCCCTGTGCTTAACTCTCTATACAGCCATCATACTAACACTATTAATTTGGAAACTCTCGATGAACCGGTATGTAATTTTGATCTATTAATAGAAATACTGGAAAAAAATAATAGTCGTTTTTTCAGAAATAAGGAAAGAAATTCAGTTAAGGGATGTCACAGGATTGTATTTCCAGAAATTCGTGGAAGTCATATCATGCCTGAAAATACTGTCCCAATCTACGGGTACAGCAATTCTCTTGTACGAGGAGCTGAAGCAAACGACGGATGATCTGACGCCATCGTTACTTGAACCGTTTGATGCAGCAACAATAGAACGCGAACGAGCTTTAGAACTGTTAAAGCATCGTTCGGATTTGCAGTTAACAAGTGATGAAGCCGTGAAATTTTAATTATGCTTGATATATCAAATTTTAAGTCATTATGTATGTTTCATACTCTGGAGAGTGAAAGATTGTTCGGTTTGGTTTGACTTAATCTACAGTAAAAGTGATCTTTACCGATTTTTTAATGGTTCAGAGCTTAAGACGACGAATTCTGCATTTTCGATATCATCACAGCAAGTAGGTTTACCCTTCCTTGGCTCCATATCCCTCGCACTCGGTTTTAAGAAAAAATTTAGTCGTGCACAGGAGTTGTAGGATAAAACCATAACGAAGCAGAGAAAGACTGTTCTGAGCGTAAAGGTCTACTTTGAGCAGACATACGATTCCGAACATACTTTCATATTTTTGGATCATTTGACGATGACGAGTGAAGGAAAAAAACTGCTACGGAATTCCTTACGGGGTAACAAACAATAACCAAATATTACCTTGAAAACATACCTTCAAGTTTCTTGTATTGAAATTATACAGTTGACAAGTTTCTAGTACTTGAATATTTTAGCAATTTTTCTTTTTTTCATAACTTCTACTATAGCTTTTCATGTGGTAATAATAAAACGAATCATTGGTTTCTAGAAATCCTCTGGAAGAGTTGGAAATTTAGGCGAATATTTCGGTATTATTGAACATGTTTGGTGTGCATTTTTCTTTAAGATGAAGCTTAAAGAGCAGTCCATTTTTTCGTTCTCTAAAATACCTCAAAAGCAGGACATTCTAATGTGGCAGGTCGCTTCCTAACAGTATAATCTTTACCTCAACTTATATGTTGAAGAATGTGGTCTCGAAAATAAGCTATGGTGAATAAAATTTAATGCTACCCATTACTGCTTTTATGGGATGATGTATTAGGAATGTGACTGTATTAGATGCAAAATATAACGAAACACTTGGCAAGAACTAGCATATGGCATTCTTAAACTTGTCAAAACAGATTAACATCAATTTTGTGAAGATTTTATTATAGGAAAATTGAATAATTACTTTGCAAAATGGCTGGTTCTTTTATTCCGGTATCATCGGAAGATATTCATGAATGATAATTTTATAAGCTTGTTTCTTTGCATTGCTTTACGCAGTGTACATATTTCTGCTTCCGATGATCCAGTGGAAAAGAGATGCACCATCTATGTGAGAAAATGTTACAGCTAAAAATTATTGTTATTAGCCGTAACTCAATAGCTTCGCAGAAAAGTGTGAGTGGAGCATTACTATTACATCCATGCGAAGTTTGTGGTTATACAAAGGCAAATCTGGTTTTAATCAGATGCAGATAAAGAACTGGAAATAACAGAACCGATTCCTTACTAGTAGTACACTTACTGCTATAATTTTCCCAAATTTTAAATATGACTGACAACAAAGATCACAAATCATTATAAATTTCTTGGAAACATATAATAAACATTGAAAAAATATATGTAGAACAATAATCGAAATGTGGACAAATGACTGAGTTGAAAACATTTAAACAATGATAACAGTTGCATTAATACAATCAAAGAGATGAAGCAATAAGGCTTTTGCATCACATTAAAAAAAAAAGGAATTTCTAGTTCGCACAACTGGAAAACCACCATTTCTTCCTCCTTCTCTCTAAGTGGCTAGGTACATAATGTTTGGAGCACAAAGTAACAATAACATGCTGAAGAAAATGGAAAGGATGAATTTTTTTAGGAAAATTCCTTTTTATACTTTCATTTGGATTGCTTCTTTTTTTGAGGTTTTTGACATTTTAAGGACATAAGGAAGAGATATACATATGTTGGAAGCTTTTTAAATTCGGACTCTTATAAAGATTTCACCTAGTACTTAAGCGGAAAGCACATGAGACTTTGAAAATTGTTGATGATGACGTTCCTTTTTGAGTAATTTTAGCGCTAAATCTCGACCATCGTTTGTGCATTCAGTTTCATAGTTAAAATCCACCTCAATATTTTCAGTATTTGCAAGCATTAATAATGCTAAACAGTAACGGCTGATATCATACTGCGCACTTACATTTTCCATCAACTGAAACAAAAAAGTTGATTGAACAAAAACAGAAAAAAGGTTTCGAATCGACAAAACGTGATTCAGATAACCGACAATGACAACTGGTTATACATTCCATTAAAGGAGTTTATTTAGACAAATAATTTACTCATTGTAACCAGGAATTTTCCGATATCGCATCTAAATTCATTGGAAACTAATGAATTCGTATGCGATATCTAAAACACATGAGAATTAAGACTGTTCATTTTCTCTTCTCTCTGAATTTCCATAACTAACAAATTGAGCACTTCGTTGGAGAAAAAAGCCAAAGATAAAAGATTAACACAAGTTTCTTCCAACAGTGGTTGAATTTTTTTCTCCCAATGATGATCTCTACTTTGGTCTTTATATGAGCTTCTATTCACTGATATCTTCACATCAAATATATGATATAGATAACATCCGCTGTTATCTACTGTATATTTCCATCTTTCACACTACTTTCGGATGCCAAAATCATCTTATATTTTAATAAAACTAACCTCAGCGAAAGTCTTCTTCTGTCCAATGCCTTCATATTGCTCCAGGAGCTCAGTACCGTACTGATGTATGTTAAATTCTCGACGTGTTTCTTCTTCTTCCAGTAAAGGCTGAACTTTCTCTTCCCACTGTTGGACGCGCTTGCACAATTTCGATGTAGTTTCTTCTGCTGATGACCAATATCTACACCGCATATCATTTTAGCACATTATCGCATTCAAGAAAAACATAAAGGAACGTAGAGTTAAAAATGAAAACATAATATGAGCTAGAGTCCCATGTTTGTAATCTCTTAACAGTGGTACAAAAGAAATTTCCGAATGAACCGGAAATGGAATAGCATATTAAAACATAAAAGGAAGGGAATACAGGCAACAAATTGTAACAGTCTTCAGTCCCTTACCGGAATCTAGAATAGGCTAATTAGACAAGTGAAAGCATATTTCAGTTCGAATTGTCAAACAAAGTCCATCTTACGCATAACAAAGCGATGATTACGGTAGGAAGAATTAGGAAACTTCAAGTCTGTTGTTAATAAAAATGCATTTTATTAATTCATTTCAAAAAGAAAAAAAAACAATTTCCTCACTTTTGTAAATGAACCTTCAGCAAATCCTGATAAGTCATCTGTTCTGGAGGTTTCAAATGAAGATCCGGACTGTCAAAATTCATATACATCGAGGAAATGTGAACTCTATCTTCCAAGTCATCGTTGGGCATATTAGCGAAAGTCAGATTACCGTCACCTAAATTAGAGAGCTAAAGAAAATACAAAAGGTTATTTGCAGCACTATTCGTGAGAGAAATAATGAGCCTTTACCGGTCACATCAGGAGCATCCTCGATTTCGTCGTCAGAATGACCATTGTTAGCGGCTTCATATTCATCTTCATCTATTTCACTTTCATCTGACTGGATATCACCTAAAAAAATGTATTCTAATAAAGGTTTCTCAACAGAGGGCATACCAAAATAAATAAACTCTTTTACTATATAAGCGAATAAATTATGTAAATTGCTAAATTCGTATAGTTATACGTAACCTGATTGCTGATATAATCCGACATTTTGCAAAGCGCGTTCCCTAATTATATTCATCCGTTGCCTTTCCAGATTTCGGATAAGTCTAAAAAACAAAAAGAATAACAAAAGAGACTGGCTCAACAGGAACGCTAGAAACAATTATTGAATATCCAGTGTGAAAAGGAACTCACTTTCCGAAAATAATTGAGAAGTCATCGTCTAGGATATGCCCAGTTTTTTTCGGTAACGAATGATAAACATGCCGTTGAAGGAAATAATTAAGAGTGGAAAAGGTTTTCAACCCTAACTTTTCCCTCTTTTTTAATCGGCGTTTTTCAACTTGTTCTGGTACAAAAGAAGGTTTGCAGGCCTAAAAAAAAATATTTTCTGAAAAACAAAGAAAAATGAACGACATCGTTTGAATAGTGCCAAAATTATCAAATACCATTACATGGACTCCGAAAAAAACTGAATGATATGTAAAAAACAACTGAATGGAAAATTTCTTGAGAAACTGTACTGTATCTTACGCGAATGCGAAAATATTTTCTGAAATTTCTAGAAATGTAGAGAATCTTCTTTCCTTCGAAAAAAGTATTAGCAGGAAGTATATTGAAAAGTCGACAGCAGTTAGAAAAATAGTCAGGAAAATATACCCGATAAGGTGCATGCTTGCATTTCTGTAATCGGAATAGATCCATAACAGGCTCGTCTTCATCTGCACCATCGAATACTTCTTCATCAGCCTGTATTTTGAATCAAAATTTGAATTTTTACATGAAATTATCGGACCATAACCTAAGCTTTCACTAGAGCTCCTTATTAATTCAATTTCTCGGATGGAAAAAACATTGTTTCTGTCATTTAATCGTTTATTTAACAAGAAAAGACCAACCGGATGATGACCGCCATCCTTGCCATCCTCAGCATCGTCAAATGCCGGCCCATTAAATCCGAAATCGTCAATTTCATTGTCTTCTTCCTGCACACAATTCCTGTTAGCACCATCCTTCATCATGTCCACACCAACAGCAATATCACTAATAAGCTCTACGTGACTCGTATCACGGCGTGTTATCGTATTCAAATTGGTAGCAGATGTCACATGACGGACTTTCTCCACCTCACTAGTAGAGCTACGAATGTGCTCGTTACCAACTACATCTACAACTTGGCATGAAATTACTGCTAATCTGATAGTTTATTAAGCATGCTGAAAACCAACTATATGAATGGGCTGCGAACCAACTATAAATCCGAAAACAAAAGTGAGGCAAGACTAAACATCAACCTCTTAAATTTAAAATTCGTGGAATACAGGTCTAAATTTTATATCTTCTAGGCAGAAATAACTCCAGCTACCGTACTCTTGCACTACTATTACTATACCAAAATTCAGACATGACTGCTGAATTAAAGGTTGATACTTCAACCAGACTATTGAGAAAAAATTACCTAACTGTTCATCACCCGGTGTCATCAGTACATCAGTAAAGCCGAAATCGTCACAACTTTGCTCCCCTATCACAAAGTCATCCAAGAGATTTGCATTAACCAAATCAAGCAGGAGAGCACCCTGAAAAAAACATTAGTTAGGATTAAACACAGATAACGATATAACCAAATGAACAAGGTTTATTCGCTCGACATTCTCTTGTCTGAATGGTATTCATATTGTCCGAAACAAGGGATGAAAATGACATAAGGATGCTTTTTATGTTATTTCACGAATATATGAAAGACATTTATATTGTTTGACGAATATATAAAATCAAGTGGATAGGGCAACTCACGAAGAAAATCAACGAAAATATTTTAGTGATGGTAGAATGATGCCAAATCAAAACTGCACTTGTTAAAGCAATGAAAATGAAAAATTGAAAAATTTTGAAAGGGTGAAAAATTTCCTGTGAATAAATCTTGACGTTCTATTTCATTACTTACACTTTCCAGAGACATACATATCGCAGAAGTAGTTAACATTTATATTATTTAAGGAGGAAAAACTGACGCTTTTATGGATGAAACCAGTGTTGATAATGAAGTCATCTTTTTTTCCGATCAGTTCTTTGAGGTTTCGGGATGAGTAAAGAGGCACGTTAGTTTTCTCGAAATCAGCAAGCGGCATTAATGAGATCGGCACCTGAAAATTCGTATAATTTTGTATATGACATTACATGCTTCAGTGATATCATTCACCCGGTCCATAATTCCAAATTGTTTCATGAAACATTGGACGATTAAGCAGAGGACAATGCACGACATCCAGCCAACGGGTATTTCACCTATTACGGATGTTTGCTGTCACCTAGTGTATTAGTACTTCACCATCCATGGCAGCAAAACAAACCTGTGGAAGTAAGGGAGGAGGTTTTGCCTCACTCTTCAACATTAGTGTCTTCCAATCGACAGTTCGAAGATTTGTGAATTGAATAAGCTCACAAGGATCATCCGGTTCTTGGCTAAATTCATCCACGTCGTCTTCGACGTGTTCCATATTATCTGCAACAAGGCAGTCATTCCATCATTAATACCTCTTAGATTATAACATTTTGGCATGACACCATCATCACATAGATCCAAAGCTCATCTGTCTTCAGCTATTCATGCTTATTTAACCAAAACCCAGCTTCCTTTCTTCCTGCATTTGTTACCATTCACTTGTTTACTCCATAGGATCTGCTGACTTTTATTTACTTCATTCGAGTTGTTCATTCTTCAAATCAATAAAGCTTTCAATGCCACAACAAACTTAATGTGCAACATTTCCACAGATTGCGCTCCGCCAAAAGCTAATATGCACTTTCGTTCATGTGACAAGGGTGGATAAGTGATAAGCTAATAACAAAGATGACTGGAGAATGAAATAACTGAAATGAATCAATCTCACTACCTGAATTCCTTTTCCGGGATGCCTTCTTATCACGGAGTTGCTCGTAGAAATCTCGTGCAAGTCCGTGAACATACTCAACCTTCTTACCATATACCATCGTTGAACCCTGAATAAGTATTGCTGCTTCCGCAAAATTGAATTTATCCTCTCCACCGATTTTCTCATCTTCCGTCCCTGAGTGATCGCTCAGTTCTCGTATTCTGAATATGTACATATATATATATATATATATGTAAATATATGTATATATATATATACATATATATATATATATATATA